TCTTTCTCTCTCTCTCTCTCTCTCTCTGTCTCTGTCGCTAACTCTCTCTATTTCTCTTTCTCTCTCTTTCTTTCTTTCTCTCTTTCTCTCTCTCTCTCTCTCTCTTTCTCTCTCTTTCTCTCTATGTCTTTCTCTCTCTTTCTCTCTCTTTCTCTCTCTCTCTCTCTCTCTCTCTCTCTCTCTCTCTGTTCCACTCTCTTCTAGTTTGAATCTGTTTGTCATGTTAGGCAGATGTGAAAGAGACAGTTGTCTCATGCTGTCCTCATCTCCCGAGTCCTCATCTGCTGTCTGAACTGATTTCTGCACTTCTTCTCTAACAAGAGTCACGTGTGAGAAGAAGTCACAAACGCGTCTCATGTCAGAGGGTTCTCTGTTTTAGAGATATTACCGCCAGCTGTAACTAAATCCGCGACTGCAGACTTATTAAAGCATCTCTAAAGTTCATCATCTTCATCTCAACAAGAACAGATCAAATCTGTGTGGAAAGCTTTCAGAACCTTTATGTTTAATAATTAAATGATTATTTTAACTGCTGATGAGTCTCACATCCCTGAGGAGGAATTTTGTCACGCTCTTTTAAGAATTGTCTGCATTCAGCCAAATTCACGATGTTCTGCCTGAGAGCAGAATCCATGGTTTCATCAGTTCCAGCAAGTGGTCCTGGTCCTGAAGCAGCAGAGCAGCTCCAGATCATCACACTACCACCACCAGGGAAACGTTTAAGTAACTGGCTTAGTGAGTGAACTCAGTGTTCTGTAGGAATGTTTACGTTGTGAAGTGCCTTGGGAGGACTGTTATAAATGAACTGGGTTGAATTGAAACTGAACTGGTAGAATTTACAAAAGCTCTGCTCCCAAACATCCAAGTTTAACAGAGGGAACGTCGTGCCCAAAAGCAGCAAAGGGCAAGTTTTTCTGAACAAACCGTCCTTTCATGCTGAGGTAAGTCATGTGGTTAGGAAGTGTGTAATGCCAAGTGGGGAGGTAACCAGCCATCAGTCACAGCAAACGGTTTATTTTCTTTTATACTCCCTCCAAACGAATCACACATGACCAGTGGCTCCTTTCACACACACAGAAAAAGGATCTGGTTGTTGTAAGAATTAAAAAAATCATCTTTATGTGGAAATAATGTAAATAAATCCAAACTTTTGTTCCCAACTCAGCTGTTATTTCAGTTCCTGTGATCTTCTTCACCTTTGCTGCTCTTCTTGTGTTTCTCGCCTCACCTGATCTGATTTAGTCTTTTTTTTACTCTCCTCCGCACCACATTTGTCTTTTCTTTCTTCCCTTTTGTTTTGAATCTCTAACTCTGTATTTATCCGTATCTTGTCACAGATTTCGCACTCTTCATCTCTCCTCTCTTTATTAGAGCTAATTACTTCCAGCAGGCTTTTGTCCTAGTCCGTCACGCTGCTGCCCATCATGTGATGGCAGTGAGTTAGCTTGTTATTGGAGGCCCGTAGACACGCTGCACATGAACTATTCCAACTTCCTCCTGCTCTGTGGAGCCGCGCCTGCTGCTGCAGCTGAAGTGAGGACTCGATACCTTCCAGCTTTGGTTACTCGGCAACAGAATCTCTAAATGGCTGAAGAAGTTTTAATGTCGTCCTCAAGGAAAATTACATCGGTGAGTCTAGACAGACCGCATGAGCCGGGTCTGATGGGAGGGGGGTGTCCTGGTTTTAATCTGGATGTAGACGCAGAGTCTCAGCTGTTTGGACGGTAGCATAAGGTCTTGTTGGGATTTATCGATGAAAGTACAGATGGAGCGTCAGGAGCTTCTTCAAAAATATAATCAGTGTTTCAGCAAAGTTTAAAATGCTTTCAGCTTCAGGTCTTTTAAAGTTTGGCTCATCATGAATGCTTACAACTAACAATAAGGGTCCCTTAATTAACATTACATAGTGCACTATTAAGCATTAATAAACTATTAATTACACTATTAACAACTGGTTATTGTTAGGCAATGCATTACTAAGCAGAATCCCCCCGCCCTTTGTCCTAGGACACTTAATAGTTAAAAGTATCAGGAACATTGTTTATTAATGCTTAATAATGCAATAAGTAATGTTAATAAGCGATCCTTATTGTTAAGTGTTAACTTAAATGTATGTGTAGTTTTTACCGTTAATCTCTGGAACCATCAAAATGAATGAAATGATGCCCAGTTGTTGAACAAAATTGGTGACGATGTAGCATACAACCATACAAATCGGGTCTAAAATACATGGGAGCGGGTGGAAAGTCTCTGGGCGACGCCATATTAGAAGCCATGTTTCCTTCTATGGGAGCCTGTGAGGACAAAATGCATTTACAGATTTGTAACAAATGGTTACAAAACGTTTGCTGTTCACAAACATTGTTGTTTCACACTTTTGCCTCTTCACCTTTTGTCACTGATGAGAGGGAGTCTGATGTGTTTGTCATTTTGCTGGAAGCTGCACTCCCAGGCATGTTTTACCCTAATGGGCATCCGTTGGTAAGGCCCTTACTCAAACACAAAAATACAGCTTGCTTGCAATGATTTTGGTATGTACTGCCCTCTATTGCCAGGGGAAAACGCATCGTCCCTTTAAACATTTCTGTGCAAAATGACAACTACTTGAATTGAAGTTAACCCTCTGGAGGCAGGTTAAGGTTGCTGATTAACTCACAAACTAATGATCTCAAATCAATATGTGGCTTTTAAAGAAGTTATTCAAGGGGAACATATTCTTGCTTTAAGTGGTTAATTAATACTAAACTACTAGTAATTAGGTATGAACAACATCTGACTTTAGAATGGGGAACACGTTCTTGCTTACAAGTGGTTAATTGATTGTTGTTTAGGTTCTATTAACATGTGGAGTTTGGTGTTTATTTACATACCAGAACATAATATTTTTGGTTATTAATGCAAAATAACTGTTCCCCTTGAATTACTTCTTTAAAAGCCACATATTGTCATGTTCTGCGGGTGGAGGTGGCAGACCATGTGTGGTGGTGGGTTCCAGGAGGCAGAAGATCAGGCAGACGGATGAAAAAATAAAAAGATGTTTAATTGTAGACTGGGGGCAACAGGACGAAACGAACATTGCACAAACGACAATGAACCGACAAAGACAGCAACAAGGAGGGAGGTATAAATACACAAGGGAATCAGGAACACATGGGCAGAGTAATCAGGGACAGGTGAGAACAATAAGGCTAATCAGGGCAGGAGAGACACAGTCAGGGAGGCCGGGGCGGATCATGACACATATTGATTTGAGATAATTAGCATGTGTGTTAATCAGCAACAAGCCATTTACTTTCAGTTATCAAACCATTATGAATGGCTTATTTTGATAAAACTCTTAATTTATGGCCTGTTATGTTAGAATAACAGCATTAGTAATAAGCTGTTAGTAAGTGCTTAATAATGACTAATAAAGACTTAGTAGTCCACTAATATGCATTAATTGGCAAACATCAGAAATAAGGATTTAAATAATATAATTAATATATATTAATTGGCAGCTAACTTATGGTTAATTTGTGTTCCCCTAAACTAAAGTGTGACTGATTTTTCTTTTTTCTGTATATTGCAGCTATGATGATAAAACGTTTCTAATGATCTTTAGTTAAGACAAGCTGTTTAGTTTTAGTGCTCCGTTAGCTGTTAGCTACACGTAGCTACGTGCTGTGAGTAAGTTCACAACACAGCAAAGATCTACTTCCCAAATTGTGCCAAATAAACTAAAACGTTTGAAAAACTTGACCTCAGATCTGTTTAGTTTGGTTGAATGTGTATGGGATGTAAAAGTTGTGCCACTGAAAGACTGACAACCGATATTTTCTGAAATGACATTTTGATGCTGATATCGGCCAATATTAAAGGTTGACTGATAAGGATGTTTAACTTGATGTGTTTTGTTCTTATTTCTTAATGATTTTTTCACAGACTTGGTTTGGGTGAGAGTTCAGATTATAACCCAGAAAAGCGCTGCTTTGCTCTATAATCTAACTTTCAGTTCAAGACTAGTTTCTTCATGGGGCTGATTGTGCAGTGTGGTGCGGGATAGTAGAACGGAAGAATGCTGATTGTGAGCACATTGAGACCCTTTTTGACTGAAAACCTTGTGGTTTGTAAGAGATGAAGGCTAAAACAGAAGCTGTGAAATAAACCCAGCAGGACTCGCCACTGATCCAGGTATGATGGGTAGTAATGGGACATAACCGATTTACTCGGGTTGAGGGACATTTAGGAGAACAAGTTGTGAGGAGGATGGATGCTTATTTAAATCCTTATTTCTGATATTTGCTGTTGCTTCTCTAAATCGCTGTTTCCCAACCCTGGTCCTCAGGGAACACTGTCCCACACGTTTTCTGTGTCTCTGCTCCAGCACACCTGATTTGCATTGCCACCTCAGGAGGACATCAAGTGCTGCAGATGCCTGTTTATTCATTTAAATCAGGTGTGTGGCAGCAGGGAAACACTGGCGTCCTTCCAGTGTTATGGCCCTCACCTCTGGAACGAGCTGCCAGAGGACCTCAGGGCCGCAGAGAACTTTCATGTTTTTTAAGTCAAGACTCAAGACCCATCTTTTTAGGTTAGCTTTTATCTAAATATTTTCTACAGTTTTATTTCTCGTTTTACATGATTATATTTTATTACTTGCTTTGCATGTTCTATATGATTATATTTTAGCACAGTTTTATTATTTAAATTATTATTTTACTGTTTAAATCATTTTATTTATTACTTATTTTCTAATTTTTGTCATTTAAATTAGCTCTTTTATTACATTTTTACTCATTTTAATCCAGTGTTTCCTCTGTGGGGGCCCTCTGCCCCGGGAGCGGTGGTCGACTGTAGCTTCCTGGGTGCTCTATAGGTGGGGGTCTATGCTCCCCCTCCAATGAGCGCCCTGACTTAGTGTGGAAGACCTGATGCTGCCGCGACAGACGGCTCCTCTGATGGCGTTTCCTTGCCTTACCATACTTGGCTCATCTGGACTCAGCCTAATATAATTTTTACTTGTGTGTGTGTGAGTCTGTGTGTGTGTGCATGTGCTTGTATATGTTTGTTAATGTTTTTAACCTGTTATGGGAATCTGGGGTCGTTTTGTAAAGCACTTTGAATCACACTTTGTTTGAAAAGCGCTTTAGAAATAAAATTTGATTGATTGATTGATAAGTGCAACATGGAAAACGTGCAGGACAGTGTGCCCTGAGGACCAGGGTTGGGAAACACATGCTCTAATTGAGCAGAACAGGTCAGACAAAGCTGGACTTTGGCGATTCAGACACTGAGATTTTATTGAAAAGTCTCTAAAGGCGCTGGAGGCATTCTTTTGGGTTTGGTGCCTCCACAAATGAGCGCCACCCTCTCAAACTCCTAGAAAATTGGATATAAAGTCTAAATGTCTCGGCTCCTCGCAGGTTAATAAACAAGTTGGAGAATGTTTGTTTTGTCTTTAGAGGACGGTGAGGAGGACGTTGTAGGATATTAGGTAGATGAGAGAACTGGAGCTGTGACACAAAGTTCTGAGTTAGTGAGTCAGAATCAGACATTTGAACTCATGATGTTACTTATGGTAGTGCAAAGTGTAGTAATCGTTGGGTTATTATGTACATCATCGTCATCATCCCCATCCTGCCTCCTGGACTTTAACAGCTGTTAGGTGGCTGTGGGTGTGGCCTAAACAGCTAAACTAAATGACAGCAGCATCAATAAAACCTAGACTTCTCTTGTTTATGATCCATCTGTGGCATGTTAGTGAAGTCATTATCAGCAACGTTACCCAGCTCTTTCTTTGTGTTTGCAGCACCTGACTGGCTCTCTTCTAGCTGTAGCGTTTCTCACCTCGTTTGGGAGTTCCATGTTGTACGGCTATAACCTGGCTGTGGTCAACTCCCCAGCTTCAGTGAGACTCACACACACACACACACACACACACACACACACACACACACACACACACACACACACACACACACACACACACACACACACACACACACACACACACACACACACACACACACACACACCATGTTTAAATATTTCATCAAAAATTCTGAAAGTGACTTACTTTACTCTGTGTGTGTGTGTGTGTGTGTGTGTGTGTGTGTGTGTGTGTGTGTGTGTGTGTGTGTGTGTGTGTGTGTGTGTGTGTGTGTGTGTGTGTGTGTGTGTGTGAGTGTGTGTGTGTGTGTGTGTGTGTGAGTGTGTGTGTGTGTGGTCAGCAGACGGCTTAAACACGCCTCCAAAGAGCTGCTTGTTGGGAGGAATGTGAACTTTAGTAAAGCAGCGGAGTTCAGGGGCTCCTGGAATACAGAAAAAACTTCAAGATTAAGCTGATTATGGGATGTCAGCCACCAGCTGCAACCCAGTTCTCAGTTGAAATCAGCTGGCAGCATCAGTGACAAGTTCTAGACACATCACTGAACTCCTCTCTGTGCCAGAAACAGTTGAGCAGGAACGTGGAGATTCCTGTTAAAAACACTGTTTGATGTTCTGCTTAACCCAAATGTTTGAGCCGAGAACCTTCCTAAAATACGGATGGTAAACCTGTAGTTTGTTTACAGTGGGGCAAAAAAGTATTTAGTCAGCCACCGATTGTGCAAGTTCTCCCACTTAAAATGATGACAGAGGTCAGTAATTTACATCATAGGTACACTTCAACTGTGAGAGACAGAATGTGAAAAAAAATCCATGAATTCACATGGCAGGATTTTTAAAGAATTTATTTGTAAATCAGGGTGGAAAATAAGTATTTGGTCACTTCAAACAAGGAAAATCTCTGGCTCTCACAGACCTGTAACGTCTTCTTTAAGAAGCTTTTCTGTGCTCCACTTGTTACCTGTATTAATGGCACCTGTTTGAACTCATTATCTGTATAAAAGACACCTGTCCACAGCCTCAAACAGTCAGACTCCAAACTCCACTATGGCCAAGACCAAAGAGCTTTCGAAGGACACCAGGAAAAGAATTGTAGACCTGCACCAGACTGGGAAGAGTGAATCTACAATAGGCAAGCAGCTTGGTGTGAAAAAATCAACTGTGGGAGCAATTATCAGAAAATGGAAGACATACAAGACCACTGATAATCTCCCTCGATCTGGGGCTCCACGCAAGATCTCATCCCGCGGGGTCAAAATGATCATGAGAACGGTGAGCAAGAATCCCAGAACCACACGGGGGGACCTGGTGAATGACCTGCAGAGAGCTGGGACCACAGTAACAAAGGCCACCATCAGTAACACACTACAACGGCAGGGAATCAAATCCTGCAGTGCCAGACGTGTTCCGCTGCTGAAGCCAGTGCATGTCCAGGCCCGTCTGAAGTTTGCCAGAGAGCACATGGATGATACAGCAGAGGATTGGGAGAATGTCATGTGGTCAGATGAAACCAAAGTAGAACTTTTTGGTATAAACTCAACTCGTCGTGTTTAGAGGAAGAAGAATACTGAGTTGCATCCCAAGAACACCATACCTACTGTGAAGCATGGGGGTGGGAACATCATGCTTTGGGGCTGTTTTTCTGCTAAGGGGACAGGACGACTGATCCGTGTTAAGGACAGAATGAATGGGGCCATGTATCGTGAGATTCTGAGCCAAAACCTCCTTCCATCAGTGAGAGCTTTGAAGATGAAACGTGGCTGGGTCTTCCAACACGACAATGATCCCAAACACACCGCCCGGGCAACAAAGGAGTGGCTCCGTAAGAAGCATTTGAAAGTCCTGGAGTGGCCTAGCCAGTCTCCAGACCTCAACCCCATAGAAAATCTGTGGAGGGAGTTGCAAGTCCGTGTTGCTCGGCGACAGCCCCAAAACATCACTGCTCTCGAGAAGATCTGCATGGAGGAATGGGCCAAAATACCAGCTACTGTGTGTGCAAACCTGGTAAAGACCTATAGTAATCGTTTGACCTGTGTTGTTGCCAACAAAGGTTATGTTACAAAGTATTGAGTTGAATTTTTGTTATTGACCAAATACTTATTTTCCACCCTGATTTACAAATAAATACTTTAAAAATCCTCCCATGTGAATTCATGGATTTTTTTTTCACATTCTGTCTCTCACAGTTGAAGTGTACCTATGATGACAATTACTGACCTCTGTCATCATTTTAAGTGGGAGAACTTGCACAGTCGGTGGCTGACTAAATACTTTTTTGCCCCACTGTATTTGAACCAGAAAAAAGCACAAATAAAACTGTTTACTACTGATGCTGCTGCAGATCCGACAGGTGCAAGTGAGTCCAACAGCAGAACGACTCAGTCTAAATGTAGTGGAAGCATCTTAGAAGGTGATCAGAACCAGATAAACAAACCTTCATCTGAGGTGGGACAACAAGGCCGTAATTATGTGGATGAGTTTCGTATTCAGTGCTGGTTTAGAAGGTGTGTTTAAATACTCTGACATTCAAATGAAATCATCTGTTATTTGTTTGCATGTAAGTACATAAAAGACTTCTACAACCAGACAGTGGTGAGTCGGAACGGGACCGGACTGAGTGCTGAGACTCTGACCCTCATGTACTCTCTCACCGTGTCGGTGTTCGCCATCGGTGGCCTGCTGGGCTCACTCATCGTTGGCGTGCTGGTCTCTCGCTTTGGCAGGTAAATCTGGAGAAGAACTGAGGAGCCTCAAACAACATCACCATGTTTAAGTCAGGAGATTCATCTGTTGCTGCAGAAACTGAAGCTTTGGTGTTTTGCCAATTAAAGAAAAGTAAATAGAGTCGGAAGTGGGTAGGAGACCAATAATGTTTGTCAAAAAAAGTAAAAATGTCATTTATAATCCTGGATAAACCTCATCCAGTGTGAACATTCCCTTCCTAATGACTGGGTCCTGATCCATCCTTCAAACTGCCCTCTGAAGGTTGGGGTTGGTTCCTGCTGTAGCTCACACTGACTCTCCTTGTTTATGTTTACAGGAAGGGAACAGTGGTAAACACAACAGTCCTGGTTTTTATTGCTGGCTCGCTTATGGGCTTCAGCAGGATGTGCGGTTCACCTGAAATGGTCATAATTGGCCGCTTCATCACAGGAATCCACTCAGGTACATTATGCAGCATGCACACTACATGCCCACATGTCCACAATGCTCTGGTGCAGAAAATCCAACTTAATCTTTTTAAAAAGACAAAATTAACCATCTATAAACAATTAAAGAATGTGAAACATGAACAGATCTTTGGTTTGAGAAACACAAGAAGTGAAACATCTTTAAAAAACTAAATCTGAAATCCAGTCAGTTTATTTCTAAAATCTGGAAATCTGCAAGTTCTAGATGGCTGACGCACAATCAGCTGTCTCCAGGATGGTCTCCTCATCGAGTAATGTCCTACAAGATATGTGTCTCCTCATCTTCCCTGCAGTGACTCAGGACTGAACCCGTCTTCTCTGTCGTCCTTGCAGGCATCTCTCTGAGCGTAGTCCCAATGTACCTCGGTGAGATAGCCCCCAAGAACCTGAGAGGATTCCTGGGTCTCGTTCCAAGCATCTTTATCGGAACAGGAGTTTTTACTGCTCAGATCCTCGGCCTCCATGAGCTCCTTGGAAAGGTTGATCAACACTTCATCTCGTGTTCATCACGTGACCAAAGTTCTAGTAAAACTCGTGTTCTGTGATTGTTACAGGAGGAGTACTGGCCCCTGTTTCTGTCAGTGGTGGTGGTACCCACCTTTATCCAGCTGATGCTGTTGCCATGGTTTCCAGAGAGCCCTCGGTACTTGCTGATTGAGAAGAATAATGTCCATGCTACAATCACAGGTTGAAGCATTCCCTTTAAGAAAACAATAGAAATCTGTAGAAGATTAGTGAGTTAATTTCAATAACTGTCATGTTTATCCTGAATCACCATGTTGGAAATCCTCTACAGCAATCTTCCTTTTAGTCGAGTTGTTTTTCTTGTGTTCAGGATTAATATTAATCAGGTGTTCAAGCAAGTTGGTGCAGTCAGAGCCTTTTATATGTTTGTTACTTCATTCAATCACATCACTTATGTAAGTAAAGTCCTCCAAGGAAGGAGAAAAGCAAGAAGCTTTTAGAATGTTCAAATGGGAGTTACCGTTCAGGAATTCTAGAAATTTCTGCCTCTCGCCCTCCAGCCCTGAAGTGGTACCGAGCTAAGTGTGACATCCAGGCTGAAATTGAAGAGATGCAGGAAGAACAGCGCTCCCTGTCCTCAGTGGAAACTCTATCGGTATGGAAGCTGTTGCTGGATGATTCCGTTCGCTGGCAGGTGCTGAGCGTTGTGGTCATCAACATCGGTATGCAGCTGTCGGGCATCGATGCTGTAAGTTCTCTGGTTAAACTCAACTCCCACGCTGAATGTTTCATCTTGATAATTGTCCAACATGCTGATTTATGTGTCGGTCATGAATTATTCCCAGCGAGACTGAAAATACGGAAATGTTCACAGGAAGAAGTTTGTTTTTGCAACAGAAACATTTTCTAAGTCCGGACGCCAGCTGAAAGAAACCTGGGGTTATTCCAGACAGCAAGATTTTCCCAAAACCAGGCTTTCTTGTGAGATTCCCGGAGGAACCGCCCCTGAATCGGTTCTACGGACATGACTAGCCTGAAGCCCCTCCCAGTCACCATGGTAACATGCTAGAGAACAAACCTGCTCCATGGCAGGCTAGCAGCTAGGCTAGCTGACGCTTTGTGAATATGATTGGACGAGGCAAGTGACGTCCCTTTTCTCGTGGGTGGCTGGCAGCTACGAGGTAGTGAATCAGCGCCACCGCTGGCCCGCAGCGGTAGCAGCTTCATGGCTAAATCATTCATACATGTGGAGTTTTTAAACATGAGCTCTACTGGATTTACATCTTTGTTGTATTTAACCTCATTAGCAGCGTTTGATTCCACTGATGTCAGCATTATTAATAAGTATAATTACATTTCAGCTTTAGTCTGGGATGGACCCATATCATTAACATGTTAAATAGCCTTAAACTAGCTTACGGCTGCTAACATAAGACATGTAGCAGGAAATGCTTTATCGGAGTGACTATATATGTACTCTGGTCACATGAGTCAAACACGCTAATATTTGATTTAAATGACATGCATGATGTTTCTCCTCGGTGTGTAACATATGTGCTAAATGTGTAATTGTGACAAACGGTTTACAGCGTTAACTTCAACTAATTACTTTTCCCACTGTTGTAACGCCGTTACCGTTACTAGGGACGGAAGGTTGTGCGTTACTATGTGCTTGTCGAACGTTGCGCAACAGTGTGAGCCTTTCTGACTGCCAGACTTCAGCTTTAGCCAGGGAGAGAGAGGTGTCGGTAACGCACTTACAAACACGATGGTGATTGGCCGGGTGGGCGGAGACCCTCAGTGTTCTCACTGTCACTGCATGCTGTAGACACAACAGAGCAGTGATGGGAATAACGCCGTTTAAAATAACCACGTTAATAAAAATATTTCTTTCTGTAACGAGCAATCTAATTAATTACGTCTTCTTTTATCAAAACGTCGTTTCTGTTACTGATCAGAAAATGCGTGCGTTAAGCAGCGCGGTGTGTTGAAGCTGTCATCAGCTGATCAGGAGCTAAAGAGGCAGATGTTTTCATCCAAGCGCATCATGGCCGTGAAGAACGAGGAAGATGTGATGAATATCTACGGCTGCAGACCCGCAGATTCGTTGCTGCAGGGGAATCTGCAGCAGCGAATCTGCGGGTCTGCAGCCATGACCTTCTTAGCGTGACAGCGGGACGTCCCGAAGGTCCGCTCACCTGTTCACCGCTCAGACGTCCTGATCTTCTACCTTCCTAGATCATCCAGCTGTAACCTGTTTCTGATCATGTCTTTAGTCCCGCTGTAACACTGATGCATCAGTCTCAGACGTCATAGAACTACCTGTGTGTGTTTACCACCCAGCTTCAGCTCTTCTGTGGTTGGGTCTGACCCAAGTTAGTAAATGTATGTCCTCCATCAGGCTTGTGCCTCTTCTAGTGTCATTTTAAAGGATTTTATTTATTTATTTAACCATTACTAGTTTCCTGCAACAGAAATGCTAAAAACGCACAATTATGTGAAGCTGGAAAAATTAAAATGTTGTGCAAAACTACATTCATTTCTGTAACTTAACTAGACTGAGATACCATTTAAAGGCTCGGGAACCTTTACAGGTGTTTCCATTTGCAATTTGAAATTTTAGCTGATTGGGGTCTTGTTAAATATCACACAGTGACGTTTTAATAGTCTAGATAAGTGTAATGCTCCTGTTAGTAGTTCCTCCTGTTAAGTGCTTTTTTATTTAAATTATTCAGGTTTAGAAAAAACATTTAGACTTACATTTTATTATGTTCCAGTCATTAGTCATTTATATTTCACTATTGTAGTAATTCTTGCATGCTTTAATGAAAAAAGTAACTAAGTAGTTATTTTTCTTGGTAATTAGTTACTTTTATAGTAACTGAGTTACTTTTTGACAAAGTAATCAGTAACTATAACTAATTACTTTTTTAAAGTAACTTTCCCAACACTGGCTCTGGATCACCATGGTAATAGAGACATAGCTCTAGATCACCATGGCAACAGAGACACCTAGATCTCATAGCTCTAGATCACCATGGTAACAGACTCAACTCTAGATCATGGCAACAGAGACACAGATCTCATAGCTCTGGATCCCCATGGCAACAGAGACTTAGCTCTAGATCACCAGGGTAATAGAGATTTAGTTCTAGATCACCATGGTAACAGAGACATAGCTCTAGATCGCCATGGCAACAGAGACACATAGATCTCATAGCTCTAGATCACCATGGTAACAGACTCAACTCTAGATCATGGCAACAGAGACACAGATCTCATAGCTCTGGATCCCCATGGCAACAGAGACTTAGCTCTAGATCACCAGGGTAATAGAGATTTAGTTCTAGATCACCATGGTAACAGAGACATAGCTCTAGATCGCCATGGCAACAGAGACACATAGATCTCATAGCTCTAGATCACCATGGTAACAGACTCAACTCTAGATCATGGCAACAGAGACACAGATCTCATAGCTCTGGATCCCCATGGCAACAGAGACTTAGCTCTAGATCACCAGGGTAATAGAGACTTAGCTCTAGATCACCAGGGTAAAAGTGATGTGGCTCCAGAGTATGAGTCCACCATTTGGATCTGACTTGTTTTTTAAACCTTCATGACTTCCTTTAAGGAATAATGGAAAATTAGCTTGGTAACCAGAATCTATTCTCAGGTGTTTTTCTTGCTGTTGGACCAAAGCTGAAGAGAAAGACAGCGTATTGTTTTTAACACTCAGAAATAAACTAGACCCCAAAACAAGGAGATCAAAGTTGGATTATTTCTTTGTTGTCGTTGTTCTCGGTAATCAAGCCAAAAGCTCTACTGTGCAGCAACCCTGCTGCTCAATCAGCATCTTGAGTTCACACCTGTGAGGCGGATGGATTCTCTTGGCTGAGCAGTGCTCATTAATCCAGATATAAACACATAAATTGGCTGCATGGTGGCGCAGTTGTTAGCACTGTTGCCTCGCAGCACGAAGGTTGCAGGTACGAAACTCGGCTGCGGCCTTTCTGCGTGGAGTTGCGTGTTCTCCCCATGCATGTGTGGGCTTCCTCCGGGTACTCCGGTTTCCCCACAGATCACAACATGCCCTATAGGTTATAAATTGTAAGTCGCTTTGGATAAAAGCGTCTGCCGAATAAATAAACATAAACATAAAACATAACTATCAGAGGGCTGGGTCTTTTGTGACCATTTTTTGCTCATTTGAAATATTTTTTTAATCATTTTCTAATTTCTCTTTTATATTTTTACATTTTTTGTTTTTGTGAAGCGCCTCGTGATTTTTATCTTGAGAGGCGCTACAGAAAAGATATCTTCTTCTTCTTCTTCTTCTTCTTCTTCTTCTTCTTCTTCTTCTTCTTCTTCTTCTTCTTCTTCTTCTTCTTCTTCACAGATCTTAGATCAGGCCGATGGGGGGCAAGAACACGAATGCTGGGTTCTAATTTAGTGGAGTGTATTTATGGATACACACCAAATGAGTTTTCTCCGAAGAGTGTCTGGGCTCTCCCTTAGAGATAGGGTGAGAAGCTCAGTCATCCGGGAGGGGCTCGGAGTAGACCCGCTGCTCCTCCATATCAAGAGGAGCCAGTTGAGGTGGCTCGGGCATCTGGTCAGGATGCCTCCTGGATTCCTCCCTGGTGAGGTTTTCCGGGCACGTCCAACCGGGAGGAGACCTAAAGGTAGACCCAGGACACGGTGGAGGGACTATGTCTCTCACCTGGCCAGGGAATGCCTTGGAATTTCCCTGGAGGAGCTGTCCCAAGTGGCTGGGGAGAGGGAAGTCTGGGCCTCTCGACTTAGGCTACTGCCCACGCGACCCGACTCCGGATAAGTGGATGAAAATGGATGGATATATTTATGGATTTAGTAACTTTAGTCACACACGTGTGAAATAACATGTAAGGGAACAACATGAAGGTCTGGTGGATTTCACAGTTTTCTAGACCCAGATGGATGTCAGCTGCTTGTTCCCAACAGATCTGGTTTTACACCAACGACATCTTTGAGAATGCAGGAATTCCAGCTCCAGAGATCCAGTACACCACGGCAGGAACGGGAGTCATAGAAATCATCGCTGGGCTGGTTGGGGTAAGTGTACAAACAGTCCAGGTTTATTTGTTTATTTATCAACTAAAATGTTAATTTTATTATATAAAATACCAGCCTGTTTACAGAGTCCATCCATCATTCAGGAAAAGGAACCATTAAACCGGACTGACTTCATAAAATACTGAGAAAAATAATGAACGGAAAGGTCTAAAAATCTTGTCTTTCTTTTTGAGTTGGTTGAACGCGTTTACCAGACGTTTCAGCGGGTTTGGGTTCAAATATTTTACAATAACAGGAACAATGGAAGCTAATTGTCACGTCTGTCCTGAATGTGAGACAACGCGTAAACACACGTTACAAACAACTGCGAAACGGCTAATATGATATTTTGAAGATCAACCAACAGGAACGGTTCCACAGAGACACAACAACAACGTTTGTTTACTTCTGGGTCTTCGTTGTAAAACCAGCTGAACACATTTCCACACTAACACTGCTCTATTGATCGCTTCCTAAATAAACGTAGTTCTTATGTTTGTTCACATCAAACCGCTTTTCTCTAGAATGTTTTGTTTTGTGCTCCAAATGTTTTTTAGTGTTTCACCATAGAGAAGCTCGGCCGGAGGCACCTGATGGTCGGAGGGTTCACTATGATGGGCGTCTGCAGCTCTGGGATCACGCTGGCCCTGATCCTACAGGTGTGTGTGTGGGGGGGGGGGGGGGGGGGGGGTCTAATCAACCACTGCATGTTTCAGAAAACACCTGCAGGGTGACAGGTCTGTGGTCCAGGTGTCCCTGGGTGGGCGGCTCCATTCAGCCTCCAGCCCAAAGTCCCTTCTAACCAGAACAAATTCTGGGATGTCCCTTCCTGGTTGAGTAAAGGGTTAAAGTAACGGGTTAGTTAAGTAACCAGTTCAGTAGATCTCAGTGGTGATGTCTGGCTGAGGGGGGGACTTTAGCTTATCACCTGAGGTAGTCGTCGTCTTTGGAGACGTAGGAAGCAAATGAATGAAAACCTTTATCTAACTGAGGAGGTTGTCTTTGTTCACACTCAGCAGGTGTCTCAAGTGGGGTCGTCCACCACACCCGTTGACCCCAGACAAGATAAACGTTCTGGTTGAGTATGTCCATTCAGTTGTTGCAAAAGACAGGTGTCTTCCACGTGGACCAGGACAGCAGGTGGAGGAACCCAAAAGCCGACTCCCACCATGTGGCCTTTGCACTTTCCTCCAAAAACCCAGAATCACCAAAGATTGTTTTTGGTGTTCGGAGGAGCCTCCCTCTGGAGGACACCACTGAGACATGAGGTCAACTCGGGTGGGCCTGCAGAGTTCCTCAGAGAGCTAATGAGACACTTTTCTGTTAGAACTCTCAGAACAACATGGGACAGAGCGTCCTGCTGAAGACACGCTGTCCTAAACTTGGCACAGTAAATGTCACGATGAAGCACCATGATGGACACGCCCCCCCATGTCTAACCTGCAGGCTAGTGATAACCTGTCTCTCATCCTGTCTCTCGCTGGCTGTGGGAGAGCAGGTTTTATTAGTCCTGGCTGATCGTCCAGCTGATCACAGAATTTATGGGGGATCTGAAGCAGTAAAGTCCAGGGAATCTGGAACGTAGCACCTGGGAAGATCCACCGGGAGAGGCGGGGGTTAGGGTCCACTCCAAGCCCCGATCTCTGAGGGACAACACCAACTGGGTCCTCTTCATCAGACCATCATCCTGCTCCTCCTGTGGTCCTAACAACAACAACCAGGAAACCCTGAGAAGCATGTTTGCTAACTATCATAGTCTGGTCTCTGGAATGTTCTCAGGAAGGAGGAAGAAGTTCTAGGAGATGCCAACAGCTGGAATCACCTCTTAACTCTTTTTTTTCTTTTTTAGACTCAGATATCATTCATGCGTTATATCAGCGTTTGCTGCGTGGTCGGCATCATCGCTGGGTTCTGCATCGGTCCAGGTGAGTTCCCCGACCCAGTCGACACAGATCTGTGGCAGAGCAGGTTTTCTCAGAGCAGTGGAGGAAACTCCTCATTGTCCTGTACGGGACAACAGGATGGAATAACACTATTCCTTATCAAAGGTTTAATTCCCTCAACTTTCTTTTCTTCATGTTCTAACCAGTTTTTGGGGATGGACTGATTTAAAGGTTGAACTGAAACACACCAACAGCATTCTGACCCAGGTGAAGACCTGGTCCAGGTAAAGACCTGGGTCAGGTGAAGACCTGGGTCAGAAGGATGCTTTGGTTACAATATTTAAGTAAAATGAAAACTAATCACGCTCCGAAGTGGAAAAAACATCATCTGAATCTAAAGCTGAATGAAAAAATCTTCCACATTCCCACTCATGTGAAACAAGAACAAAGATCGCCCTCTAGAGGTCACACGAGTAACTCCTGCAGCAGTGGAAATCTAAATAAAAAAATCCTCAAAATTCAAACCCTTCTCCCCATAAGGAGCTCAAACTAAATAAATAATGAAATATTACAAAGAAACCAAGAGCTTCATGCCTGCTTTTATC